TGCTGAGGTTCATGACATGACATGTACCTCCTATTTCAGGATCGCAAGCTGACCAAGGCAGAGCAGCAACGCTTCAAAGAAGAGGCAGAGATGCTAAAGGGGCTTCAGCACCCCAACATCGTCCGCTTCTATGATTCCTGGGAGTCTGTACTTCGTGGAAAGAAGTGCATTGTACTAGTCACTGAACTCATGACATCAGGAACACTCAAAACGTTAGTGTAACCTATCTGCTACAGATCGCTATTATTGAGTCTATGTTTATTATGTTCTAAAAAATGAATTATTTCAGTTAAACAAAAAAATTTGTTAATCCACATTCATTTGTTTGTCTTGCCAACACCTTGGTACGCACTTCTGTTAATGCATTTGATGAATGGAGATTATTCATACTGCAAAACACAGTTTTTATTGTGCACAGAGTTAATGTACTATTAATTTGGACAGATGTGTTGCTTTATACAGAGATATATAATGTGTTTCAGGTGAAGTGTCATCACATTATCACAACACATTAAAATTCAGGAAATATAAGTAATTCATAATATTTCGCTATCGCTGTCAGTGTTTTGACACATTTTGTCTATTGGTTGTATATTACAATATCCTTTGGAGTTTGATTACTTTTATTCTCTATCCACAGTTACCTGAAGCGCTTTAAGGTGATGAAACCCAAGGTCCTTAGAAGTTGGTGCAGGCAAATTCTGAAAGGCCTTCACTTCCTTCACACCAGGACTCCACCAATTGTCCATCGGGACCTCAAGTGTGACAACATTTTTATAACAGGCCCCACAGGATCAGTCAAGATCGGTGATCTGGGACTGGCCACTCTTATGAGGACCTCCTTTGCAAAGAGTGTTATAGGTAGGCTGCTTGCAGTTTATAGATTGAATACTTTTTAGATCACTCATGCCCTGTCTCTGTAAGATTAAGGCCTTTCCTCTGCATTCAGCACTACTGAGATTTTACAAAGGTCTCACTTAACTTCAGTAGACGTATAGTTTATTTCTATGTTAGTGGTGAATGTAGAAAGAGGGCACTGATGAAGAAATGCCAGCTCTCTTAGCCTGCAGAAGCAGTGCCCAGTAAAGATAAATTAGATGATGAGTAAGTAGATTATTATCAGCTTGAAAATTCTTACATTGAGTCTGAGGAAATTTCTGCTTTGTGGAG